ACACTACATTTAAATGCTCTAAGTGATCACTCCAATTAGAACTATAAATGAGGATATCATCAAAGAACACTAGAACAAATTTCCTTAGGTAAGGCCTGAAAACCTGATTCATTAGAGACTGAAAAGTGGCAGGTGCATTGCACAAACCAAAAGGCATCACCTGAAATTCATAATGACCATTATGGGTGCTGAAAGCAGTTAAATATCTGTGTTCAGGCCTCATAAGTATCTGAAAATACCCAGATCTGAGATCAATTTTAGAAAAGAACCTTGCCCCATGAAGTTCATCTAACAATTCATCAATCACCGGAATGGGGTAATCATGTTTGATGGTTAGACTGTTTAAATACCTGTAGTCCACACACATTCTCCAGGTACCATCCTTTTTCTTTACCAAGATAACTGGTGAGGCAAAAGGGCTGTAACTTGGTTGAATAACCCCTGAGTTTAACATCTTTGTCACCAACTTTTCTATCTCATTTTTCTGAGCATGTGAGGCCCTGTATGGATAATTATGTTTAGGAACACTACCTGCTTTTAGGATTATTTGGTGTTCTATCCCTCTCTCAGGGGGTAATCCCTGAGGTTCCTGGAAAACATCCCCAAAAGTGTCAAGAAGTTCTTGCAATTGAGGTTCAACCTTGGACTTCTCAGTTTCTGTGGTCAAAAGATAAAGCCCTTCAATCTGTTGGCAGTCCTGATGAACCAGCCTGTACAATGCTTCCCCTGAAATGAATTTACAATCCTTGTTTGATTTTAGGGCTTGCAACTTAACCCTCTTTCCTTTTAGTGTGACAGTAAATGTCATTAAATCATAATCCAACTGAATAGGAGTACAAGCTTTCAACCAATCTCCACCCATTATAAGATCACAACCAACATTTTGCAACACCCTGAGATTATAGGTAAATTGATGTCCCTGCATAGTCCATGTGAACCCTTCTGCAATTTGTGTGCTTATCATTCTCTGCCCATTAGCCACCCTCACCATGATGGGTTTAGCAGCCTTGAGTGAGCATCCCAACTTCTGAGCTATATTCTCTTGAATGAAGCTCAATGTGCTGCCAGAATCAATTAGAATATGCAATTTGTTACCTGAACACTCCCCAAACAACCTCATGGTAGTTAACCCCCCATCTCCTGCTAGAGCATTCAATGTCATTTGTACCTCCTCTATATTTTCTGTGACCTCAGTCTGCTCTTCCACCCACTCTTCAGAATCTAAGAATGAACTCTTTTCTTCTTCTGTCATCATCATATAGTTGATTCTATGCTTGCACCTGTGCCCCACAACATAAGGCTCGTCACAATTATAACATAGGCCCTTTTCTCTCCTAGCAGCCATTTCAGTAGCTGTGAGCAACTTGGTTGGTGGTTTGTATGCAGTTCCTTGAAAATTCACCCTGTTTTGAGCACCCCAGTCTCCCCTCTTAGCCGAAATAGGATTTGTTGTTGAAAACCTAGGAGTGGTTTGTTTGGCTTTCCTCACTATATCCTCCATAGTACACAACTGCTTCCTTCCCAGGTCAATGGTTTGCTGAAGGGTCTTAGGTTCAAACATATTGATGAATGCCTGTAGCTCTTCACTCAACCCACTCAAGAAACTAGCAATGAAATACTCCTCAGAAAATTCCCCAGTGTTCATCATGAGCATACATGATCTTAATTCCTCAAACTTTTCCACATATTCATTGTAAGAACCTGTGTGCTTCAATTTGTTAAACTCACCAATAATCCTGGATTCCTTAATCTCTTCAAACCTAGAAGAGATAATTTCCAAAAACTGAGCCCATGAAGTGTTTTCAAATTTGTTGCAAAAGTTCTGGAACCACTGTGCAGCTCTTCCCTCAAAGTGCATAGATGCAAGTGTTACCCTCTGTTCATCTGGGACATTTTGAATAATTCTGAAATACCCATTACACTTTAGAATCCAACTCCTAGGATTGTTCCCATCAAACCTTGGAAATTCAATTTTGGGCAGCGGGTTAATAAACTGAATTTGTTGGTCTGATGTTTCTGACTGGGATTGTTGCTTAAAAATTTGGTGTTGTTTGCCAGTGAATGTGCCTGATTTAAATGGACCCAGAATAGAGCTACCTTCACCAGAAGGCTTATCTTTGTCCAAATTTAGCAGCTGCAACTGGATAGCTGCCAAAGTGTTGGCTAAGTTATCATACTTTCCATCTATATTGCCAAATTTTTCCTGAAGATCAGAGCTAATTCCTGCTATCTGCTCTTGTAATTTGAGCTCACTTGCTTCCCTTTTCAATGTTTCTGTGTGCAGGATCTGATCAATACGCTTTTGGTGTTCTTGCAACTCCTTCAAACGAGTATTCTCAGCCATGGGAAGATCGGCTGGCTCTGATGATACCAATTGTACTGTTTACCCAATATTTTTAGTATTTTTTTGACAAATAATACGTAATTGAGATAGAGTGTAAGAGGAAGATGATGAAGGAGGTAGAGAGAGAAAGAGAATTGTAGAGAGAGAGAGTGAATTTGTTGTAACCGACTTAGTTTTCATTTCTCGAGCACATGCCTCACTTAACCCTTACAAGGATATTTTACTACTTTACCCTACACAATCAGAAATAAGACTAATAAAGATAATGCAGCCCAAATGACAAACAACAGGCTAAAAATTAAATAAGAGTTGGGCTAAGTATTCTAAAGCCCAATGATAAACTTAAATCACTAACAATCCAGCCCAAACCCCCTCAAAACCCATACAATATTTTAATCACTCACAAACCCCTAATTTTTCAATCTTTTCCTTTGTCTTCTTCTCCTGCCCTGCGATCTGCATTTCTTTCCCAAAGCTCTCTCTTTTCTCAGCCTTATCTTGAGCTTTCATCTCCAAAATCTCACCTTTCTTCCATCTCTCTACATCCTCTGTCTCTGTTAGAACTTCACTACCGGAATCGCCTTCTGGAACCATGACAATACCCCCGGCCGAGTTCGGACCTTGTCCCCAAGGGCCGAGGTTTGGAAATTTCCGACGGAGGTATTTTTCATCCTCCCAAGTGGGCGTGACAGAATCTGAGTGTGACCACCTGACGAGGAGCTGCTGGACATCTTCGCCGTGGCGGTGCACAACTCGTGAATCCACAAATGCCACCGGACAGACCTTGAAAGGAGTGTTGGGGATGAGTCCGTTCAGGCTCGTCTACGGAAAAGCGTGCCACCTTCCGGTTGAGATCGAGCACAAGGCATTTTGGGCAATAAAGAAGATAAACTTTGATCTTGATACCGCCGGAAGGGAGCGAATTTTGCAGCTTGCGGAACTCGAAGAATTGAGGAACGAGGCGTATGAGAATTCGAAGATTTACAAAGACAAGGTCAAACGACTTCACGACGCTCGAATTGTCCGGAAGGAGCTGGTACCAGGCATGCAAGTACTCCTCTTTAATTCCCGACTTCGTCTATTCCCGGGAAAACTGAAGTCCCGATGGAGTGGCCCATTCATTATCGACGAAGTCCTGTCTTTTGGGGCCATCCGACTGCGGAACCCATCCACCGGTGAATTCTTTGTCGTTAACGGACAAAGAGTCAAACCATATTTCGGAGAAGAAATCCAAAAGAAGCACGTCGAGACCATAGATCTCGACGAACCACAGTACATCTGATCGCAAGCGTGCCGAGCTCACGGCAATAAAATCGAGCACCTTTGTAAATATTTATG